ATGCAAGTCGACTACATCACTGTATGCTAAACTGAAACAAAAACAAAAACAAAAACAAAAACAAAAAAACCCCAGCTATTTATTATGAATGAAAACCTGATTTGTTTGGAGCTCTTTAGAGATGGGTAATTTAAGGGATTCTTTTCAAAGGAAATTTTTTCCAAGCATGAATACTGCCTTACAATGCTGATTTAAGGAGCTGACCACTGCAGAAGCACATAGAAAAGCTTATTTCCAGTCAATTCATTGCCAAAAGTGGCTACCACAAAATCAAGTGAGAGGCACTGGCTTTTGTTGCTACCAGTAAAAGTGCCCTAAGAGGCCTTCCTAGGTATATTATCAGTCCCATAGAATGGTGCCCAGGCCTATCTGGCTTCCTATGTTTGCTTCCTGTAACGAAGAGCAAATGACCAAATCAAGATGTATGGGCCAGGCTAGCTAAAGAGCTAGAATACGATGCAAATGCTGCTTTAGTGTTTGGCGTTCTATACATAAAAGGAATGAGATAATGATAGGTTGTTGGTTTTTTAAATTCAGCGTCTTAAATCTCCCGTTACCAGGTGCTGGAGACTGTCAGCATAGGGTGTGTCCTATCATAGACATTTTCCTAGAGCTATTTCCACCCCTGCCCTGGTATCTGATTTTATGTACTTCAAAATGCCATTAGTGCACTCGAGTGACTTTAGTTCTATCGACAATGTTAATTCTCTGCCTGTACAAACCAAAGGCTACTTGGGATAAGCTGATTTTTGTTTATTATCTGACAAGACTCGAGATTACACTAAACTGATTTTGGTATGTCTCCCTTCAACCTAATCGCATTGGACTTCTCTCAGTGTAACCATTGGAGTTGAATGCCTCCTTATATTATAGCTATACCCAGAATAAAAGTCATACACAATTTAAAATTAGCTACAGTAGTTTGGAAAAGGGTGTATGTAATTGTGCAGGTTTAAACTATTAGTAAATTGAAAGGTTGGTGTGAGTGATCAAACATGTACTCTAGCTGAAACTATTTCCAAGTGCAAGTCTAAAGATCTGTTTCTCTTCTAACACATGATTAATTTGTTCATGCCAGGGTTACTGACAGTTTGTGGCCAGCATCCTGTCAGGCAGGTTTCAGCAGGTTTGAATCAATAGAGCCCTATGTTGTCACTGCATCATAATTTTAATTGTTCCTTTCTGTTAGACTCGGCAATCAGATAGCAGGCAAGACTGAACTAACAAGAATAAATTTGTAACATAGAAAAAGGACCATTTTACAAAATCGTATGGAGGGGAAATAGAACTAAATCTATATTTAGAACCTAAATCTATATTTATGTGTGTGTATGTTGCTAGACATATAAATATTTTTTATATTTGATAGTATTAGAACATAGCAGCTTGTGAAAAGCCTGGGGCCCATCCTAGTGGCTTTTAAAAGAGCTGGTACTCCTGCCCAGGATCATCCAAAGTGGGAACAACATCGTAATAATCAGACAATGATGCTCCGTGTACGCCGACCCTATATTGAACAATTCAGTCTTGCCCCAAATAGCATAGCCTTATGATGAATCTTATTGGTCACTCTTATTGGTCACTTATTTTTCTGACACAGTTTTTTAAGTCTTTTGCAAAGGAGTCCTTCTCTGTAGATCTATTTGTCAGCACAGACTGGCCTTACATCGCTCATGAGTTCAACGGAAGGAGACAAAGGTTGGAATAGTAGGTGACTTAACAACAACCAAAAGGTGGAAACAGGCCACACGCCCACGAACAGGTAAGCTGAGCAGGCAGGTCCCGCAATTAGAGGGCAGATTTCCAAAACAGTGTGAACACTTTTAATATATTACCGCTCCCCTGGGCAATGGCTACTTCTCTTCCCACTTCAGAAAACACATAACGGGACTTTGTGTTTCAACTTAATGTCCCTTCAAAACGGAAATCTTTCCCTTTATAAAAAGAAAAAAAAAAATAGTAAAGAGGGAGACGAAAGGCGAGAGAGAAACGAATTAGGCAGTCTCCAAAGCACACTGGCTCAACTGGGAAACTGCGACCAAAGCAAGCTCCCTAATAATATAATGACCTTTAATGAGTGTCTTGGGAAACAATACAGCCCCAGCATAAAAGACAAAGGGCAAAACCCATCAGGCTCTGCTGACACTAATTCAAAATGATTTTCAGAACAACTAAAGAATGTAAGAGAAGTAATTTGATCCGCCCATCTGACCTCACTTTGATTCGAGGGCCCTTCTCCTGCCATTTCTAATTGTCAAACCCTCTACATTTCACATCTGCTCATATTTAATGAAAAGCCCACTCTCACCACTGCTCTCTGAGTCAACCAGCTCTGTCAAATGGGCACCACCCAACCCCACCACCGCGAGGGAAGGCCAGGAATTGCCATTGGAGTACTGCCAGTAGAATTCTGCATAGAGACAGACATTTTTTTAATTGGAGAAGAAGGGCTTATGTGGGTGCATGAAGGGGCTCAAATTGGAATGGATTTTTCTAACTTATTATTAATGGTCAAAGGTGAGTGGTCTCACACAGGGACAGATGAAATCTGCTTTTGTTTGACGGAGTGACGACGGCAGAAAGATTGATGAAACAGAGGAGGCAAACCCCCCCTGAGCTGTCAGTACCAGTTAAGGCTTCAACACACAGCTCAAAGCCCCATGTTTTCCATGGTGGGGTTGATTTGGGAGGGGTAGGAAGGACAACAATCACATACACAGGATGTTTCTGAGAGGACAGGACGATCCCACCCTAAGTATTTCTTCTCCTGGCCTCCTACAACACTAAGATTAAATTGCAGAGCTGATAAATCCCTCCAAGCATGATTTCTCCTGGATAAAATGGAAATGATACACACTGGGTATCACGGGCCTCATGCAGGGGACACAGATTTTGCCTTGATTGATATGGGTGGCCAGTGCCAAAGCATGACCACAAAGCCCTAGTTTAGAGCCCAAGTGGCTCCTTCCTTTTCTCTACTGAATCTCTGGCCAAGGTTTTAGAGCTTAGCAATTATCTGAAAACAGAAGTTGTGCCTTATGCAGAAGGGTAACCTCGTGGCTCATGTTATATTCCCCACAATCAGTCAAAGCGATGTGGCCAATCATGCCACCGTAGCTCACCCCTCTGTGCTCCTCGCCACCCCTGCTCTTGTCTCTGAAGCTGGTATCTTTCCACACATCGCAGACACACAAGTTCTTTGTGTGGTGTGTCTTAGTCCATATGGTAGTGCCATATGATTAGAGAGAACTCTTTCAATGAGAATAAAGAGGTAAGAGTCCATACTGTGGCATCTGTAAGAAAGATTTTAAAGGAGGCCTTCTTTCTAAAAGTTCTTTTTTAGGCCAATGTCAAGACAAGATTTAGACAGTCCCAAATCCCTCTCAATGCAACCTCCATTAGCTATCACTTTTACAAATGAATCTTGTCCCTTGGCACTGTTCTGGAGAGGTAGTGAATCATGAATCTGGGAGAATAACTCTCTGGTCCTAAATCTAACTTTTCCAGATGACTAAGACAGCTCAATGCACAGATCATGCTTCAGACCTGACCTGCAGGTACTAACGCCAGCACCTGGCCTGGCACACCACTCTATTGCACACAGTGGAGTTAGGGCTCCTACAGCCCTAGAAGCCTCTATGGATCCACTGTCACTGTACAGGGATCACCTTCAACACTGGTAAAGGTGAGTCGAGCAAGTTTTTCATGGGAGCAAATGCTGAAGAGTGAAGTGCTCTTCTTCATCCTTGTTGCCAGTATGAATGAACCCCTGCTGGTGAAAGTTTAAGTCAACCAGCTCTGGACACTTAGGAGAGAGAACGAATGGCAATATGGTCACCAATAAATGTGTTGGGTGCTTTCAAGAGGAAGGGATGAAACACAGAAGGAAGTATTGTCTTCTACCTCCCATGTTACCAAAAATGTAAAAGTAAGGTTATAGTTGCACTTTAAGACAGCCGAGTCCTCACACAGACCCGCAACCTCTTCTGCCCTTAGATGAGGACCCGCATCCCAGCATATCTGTGTACACACTGGAGCTCTCAACAACATCACCTACAAACTGTGTCGGTAAAACACCAACAAAGCCCATGCTGAAGACAGGATGAGGGATGTCTCAGGAATCTGGCATATCTCAGCTTTGCCAGCCATCAGCTGCAAGGCCTTCACAGGTTCTTTAGCATCTCTGAGCTTGTGGGTAACAAAGAAACTGACTTCAAAGGACCACGCAACAGACTCAAGGAATTCATGGAAGTTCACGGCTTACTTTTGTTGTTATCTGGAATCACAATTGCTACAAGGTAACTTAAACAGGGGGCTGCATTTTGGAAAAATCAAAGATATTAATGGAATGATCCTTTGAATTAGTCGCCTTTTTGCGGGGAAGCTCTAGAATTCACTAGTCTATATAAGTTGGTGGATTTAGGACACACTTTTTCAGAACATATGACACAAACTGGCACTGGAGGGATGAGATATAGATTACAGAGACACAGTAAAAAAAGAATATCCACCCGCATCAAAACCCTGTTGTATTCTGGAAACTATCGAAGCTCACTAAAACTACTTAATGCTAGAGTTGGCTTGTTCTCTCAACGCCCTTTTCCTTCCTCCTTTTGACCCAATCCAGTGTCTAACCCTTCCCCAAATATCGAGATATATATTTCCACACATCTCTGAATCAATATAGTATTTGATTTGCTGCCACATTGCTTTCCATTTATATTTATTTAAAGGAGAGAAGGAGAATCTCACTAGTCTGTAACGTCACAGCCCTGCACGCTAATACGAGAAGCACGAATTAACAGAATGGGGAGGGTGGCTTTCCTCAGCACGTACACAATGACACAGGCAAGTGGGGCAACATATCACCACATATGAGGTCACGGTGGAAAGAAAACATCAGCTCGACTGACACACAGCACCACAGGGCACGACACAAGACGGGGATGAGGGCACAGACAGCACAGACATAGAACTGCGTATGTCGGGGTTAAACTTACAGGCACGGAAACTGGTGGAGCAATCATTAACAGAGACAGAAGAAAGTGGGAAGGCTCTCCCAAGGGTGTCCATGTTACCACGCACACGGCCTGACATGCACGAGCAGTCACGCTCAGAACGTCCGCAATCAAAACAACATGCCCGTCTCATTCTCTTGTAGATGGACATCTTGGCTATAACCATGTGGTTGGATGAGGAGAGGAAGA